TCATTGAAGGCCCACCAGATAGCAGCTCATTCTGGTCTCCTATTAAAAAATGGACATAAATTCGTTTTGAAAAACATTCAGCGTAGGGTGACAAAATTTAAAAAAAAAGCATAAAAAACTTCCCCTTATGAAGAAAGATTGAAGACTCTTAATTTCATTCCTTGTTAACGAAGAAAGAGGGGAGACCTGACGAAATGTATAAATGAAAAAATAGGTATTAATAAAGGGGATATTAATAAGGCTTGAGAGATTTTCCAAGAGAGAACCCGCAAGAATGGATTTAAAAAATTTAAAAAGTTTAGATTTTAAAAAAGGGCATGGAAATATTGGTTTTTAAAAAGGGTATTGATGAGGAACAGTCACCTAGTTGGGTTATTTAGGCTGGGACTTTTTGGGGGAGTTTCAAATTTAGGTTTTGGTAAGTACATGAGTGGGAGGGAAAAAAAACACAATGCAGTATAATGTGATCCTGTATTGACTACGTTTCGCCCGACACAGTGGGCGCTTTTTAAGTCACAAAGACAGAACTACTGGGGTGGTAACGGAAACGCGAGTATTTATAGTCAGGTGCAGAATGCTGAGGTCAGGTGGAGATGGATGCATATGATGATGTACCGATGGTGGGGTTATTAGAGTCTAAAATTCTTGGGTAGCTTGGAAAGGAGATTGGGAATAAGTTTGTTAAGCAGACCTTCTACAGATGATATTATGTGGGATAGCGGATGAAAGGGGGGGGGAAGTTTTCTTGGCAAGTGGTTTCAGCTATTGTTTTTAGAAAGCACTTTCTGTTGAAGTGGTGGATATAGAAATATGTGATGATTCGCAGGATTCTTTCGGTATTGAGATGCTTTTTCTTCTGTGGCGATAAGTCTTGGTTTCTCGTCAGTTTTTCCAAGTTGGTTGTGTGAATTCCGGTGTTGTGTACGCAGGCATTCCTTGTGTCGTCAGACTACTTGCTTATTGGTGTTCAGAAATACGTGTTTGGAGGGTCCCTTGATGTTTCGCCCACGTATAACTTGTTGCAGTCATTCAAGGGATGATTGTATACCCCTGCCATGAGGGTGGAAGCCTTGTTCCTCGTCATCTCGGTATTGTCCGTGATGGTCGTGTTTTGGGAGGTTAGATACGCTTGAAATGATGGTATTGGATAACAGATGTTCGGAAAAACAAATACCGTGTTTGGCAATGGAGTTGGTGGGAGGACCTAGTACTCTCTTCTCGAGCTAGTGTTCTTCTCTGGATGTGTTGAAGATTGTGTAATTGACCCGTGTCTGCAGTCTCTGATGAAGTGACGGAGGATTGTGGGTTTAGAAAAGACTTGTTCAATCATCGTGCATTCCTTCTCCAAGAAATCATGCTGCAGATTCTAAGTGCCGCAGAAGGGAAGCCTATAAATTACACCACGTTTGGTTTTGGGTCGTGTCAGGTGAAGAGTAAAAGTGGAGAAGATCGTTTGGTTGGTGGGGTTTTCGATAGACTTTTAAAACGAAGTTGTGTCAGCTTGTAAAGCAGAAACATCAAGGAAGAAGAGTTGTTGTCGACTTCTTCTTCAAGTGTGAACTGGATTGAAGCTCGACCTGGTTGAGCTTGTTCTTGGAGAGGCTTTACATAGGAAGCGCTTTAGGAGTTAGGAGGAGAATGTCGTCAACAGTAAGGAGCCAGGTTGACAGGATGAAGGAATATGGTGGAGAACGTTCGGCTTCTAGATGTTCCATGTATAGGTCGCCCAGGACCGCACTGAAGGAGTGATTTTCGAAAGTGAATCCGTAAAAGCAACACATAGTTCAACAAGTTAGTTAGTTTTAGTTTAATAAGTTATTATGCACCCCCATACCATCCTGGTTGGGCTGGTAGGTAGTCAAAAAGATTACAGAGGTACTATATGGTCCAGCGGCACTGACTCCAAAGTTTGATTGCTGCAGCAAAGTTACAGAGGCAATGAATCACCATTTACAAAGGTAATGACACTCACAATTTACAAAGGTATTGAACTCACAATTTACAAAGGTAATGAACTCACAATTTCAAGTAGGTAATGAACTCAGGTAAGTCTGGTCACAACATGACAGTTACAAACGGTATTTAAGGTTACAGAGGTACGTAATGGGTACAGGGACTGGGCCCCCAAAGTTTTGATAGCCGAATAGGTTAAAAGGTAATGACTCAAAGTTACAAAGTAATGTAATTCGGTAGAATGGTTACTTACGTTTATACTTTGGCTACGATCATGCAACAAATTATAGAGTAATGAGCAATTACACTTCCACACCCCCCCCCCGGTCGCAACGCTGTAATGAGTTATTGGTGCAAAATATTGATTGTTTGAGTCACACACTCACCTCACACAACACACACACACACACACACACACACACAACACACACACATCCTCACACACACACACACACACACACACACACACACACACTTTAGTTTAATATTGTTATGCACCCCATACCATCCTGTGTGCGGTAGTCAAAAGGATTACAAAAGGTACATATATGGGTCCAGTGATGGACCCAAAGTTATGATTGCTGAACTAGTCACAAAGGTAATGAACTCCAGGTAGAAACACAGGTCGATGAAATCCCTGGCGTAATGGGAAGACAAGTGTAATCGTCAATTTTCGGCGCAAGAGATCGATGGTTGTGTAGTAGGTACTTTGGTGAATTTGGGATAGTCACGTCAAGGCTGGAAGTTTCTTGTTTCACTGGATGTGATGTTGCGAATGTGATGAGAAGATTCACCGAGTGTTTGAGATGTGCTGGAATGATAGTGCCCAAGAGTTTAGTGAGGTGTTGTGCGAGAATTCCTGAGAGATGGTGGGGAGCATGCCTATTCCGGATATGGGCCTCAGTGGGATACCTCGGCTTGTGATTTTTTGCTACAGACACGTACATCCTGGTAGGTCTGGGGTTGCTGGGTATGGTGTGCAGAAGTTTCTTCCCTTGTTCTGAGCCCTCAGATATGCGGCGAGCCTTTGAAGAAAAAGTTAGTAAGGTTTGCCAACTTGGTTAGTTGATGAGAGGTTTGTAGGTACTGGAGTCATTAAGTAGACTGAACATTTTGTCCTGTAATCGTCAGTAGTGCGTGCTCTCAGAATCTGCAGCAATGAGTTTCTTGAAAGAAGAATGCACGATGATTCGAACAAGTATTTTCTAAACTCCACTATCCTCGTCACTTCATCAGAGGACTGCGCAGACGACGGGCATTAACATCTTCAACACACACAGAGAGACTGCCGAGAAGAGTATACATAGTCCTCCCCACCAACTCCATTGCCAAAAACGTTTCCAACATCTTTTCCAATAATCATTTCAAGTATCTACCTCCACAACCACGCCATCATTGGACATTACCAGTGAAGACAGGACAAGCTTTCCACCCTCTGCAGGGTATACATAATCCCTTGTAATGGACTGCAACAAGTTATACGTGGGCGAAACATTCAGGCCTCCAAAACACGTATTTCGAACACCATTACGCAAGCAGGTCTGAGACACAAGGAATGCCTGCGTACAACCAAAAAAAAATATAAAAGACCCGTTAATTCACACAACCACTGATAAACTACAGAAACTCAAGACTTTCGCACAGAAGACAACACTCAATACGAAGAATCTGGAATCATCATTATTTCTATATCCGGACAACTTCAACCAGAATAGTGGCTTTATTACATAGTGAACCACTTGCCATGAAACTTCATCGCTATCCACATAAGAAACGGTAGAAGAGATGCTCACAAACTTCTCAATCTCCTATTCCAAGCTACCAAGATTTTAGATCTATAAACCACTCGGTACTTCATCAGATGCAGCTTCTCCACTGACCGTCAGCATTTGAACCTGACTTAAATACTCGCGTTCCTTTCCACCCAGGTAGGTTCTGTTTGTGATGAAAAGCCACTGTGTGGGCTTAGTAGTAATGAAGGATCACATTATATGCTTTTGTGGCTATATAAACACAAATGCAGCATCTGGAACTGACTATAAATCAGACTCGCGTTCCTTCCACCCCAGGTAGTTCTGTTTGTGACTTGAAAAAGCCCACTGTGTGGGCGATACGTAGTTCATAAAGGATCACATTATACTGCATTTGTGTTTATTTTGCCATTGTGTCGTATTTTATACCATTTATTTTTCCATTCCTGCATATGTGTTTATATTTCCATTGTGTCGGGTATTTTATACCATTTATTTCCATGAGATGGGCGTAGGGGTTGGATTTGATGTGGGACTTTCAACATCAGAGACTTATTTCGTTGGGGGTAGCATTGAAATTGGGTTGTTGGCAATGGGTTTTGTTAGTTAGTGTAATTTGTTTATTATGCACCATACCCGTGGGTGGGCGGTAGTCAAAAGAATACAGATGGTAATAATTGGTCCGGGCACTGGACTCAAGTTTTGATAGCTGGCTAGTTACAGATGGTAATTGAACTCACAATTTACAAAGGTAATGACTTTTTTTTCTCTTTGTTAGTGGGATGAATTGTTAAGGACCGGCTAGTGTATGGGACACACAGCCTCCATGCAGAGTGTTCCTCCTTTCTTTATGTTCTTATAATTAAGAGAATCTGAAGAGGTCTGGGGACTCCTGGTAGTTTAAGCTCATGAATATAATAACTCTGATTTGACGTAATACACCTGAAAAAGGTTGCATAATTCATAAAATAATTTTCACTGAAATTCTACCTAAAATAAATAGAAATTCAGTCTATAGAAATGTCAAGAATTACATATTTAATGCAAATAATAAACAACTCGAGTCAGTATCAAAATTGTATGTAAAGGAAGACTTACATTAGGTTCTTACGATAAAGCAAATCAAAATCTGACATTAATCCTTGAGAAGTCAGACCAAATTTGTATTGTAAATTTGCAGGAAGACCTTGCAACGTTCGGCTTCTTCATATCGAAATTATCGCCACACTAACTTCCTCTGAAAAAGTTATGACAAATACTTTCGTATACTTTAGTTCATAATTTTGCTACTTCTCACTCAATAGCATATACTGGAGGTGAATATTGTTATTATTTCTAAACTAAAGACGGAGCCATAAGAGGAAGAGTGTGCAGCAGCTGGTGTAGTTGTTGCCGCCACCACCAGGGGGCCACCAGCCGGGGGAAAATCACAGTAAATATTACCTAATATTTTCCTAAATTTTGTTTCGCTAATTTTGAGTTTGAACTCCGCCACAAAACACAGCAACACCTGTGAGAGGTCATTGTTGCAACTACACATTATAAGGGCATGTTTGTTTCCTTAAATCTGACAGCTGTTTGTAGCAGTGGGATTGCAATGTGATCAAAATAAATATGTACAGTTTTAATGTAGATTTACCGTCTGGGAAGTTGGGTTGTTGCTGGTCAAAGGCTCTTGTTCCAAGGAATTTGAGTTTATTTCCTCAGATCAAACCTGACTGTTTCTTCCCAAGGTGATTCATGACCCTTATGAGTTTAGCGCTTCATCGATAATTTCCTGTAGATTTTTTACGAAGTAGACGTGAATTTCATTATTTTCTTTGACTATTATCAAATTGGTTGGGTTAGTAATTGAACCTCTTATCCCCTTCCTTGGATCAAAACTGCGTGCATCTCTAAATTAATTGTGATTGGGTTATTCTGGGCTAAAACTTCAATTACCATCACTAAGCCAATACTTATTTTTTCATTACTTTTCTTCATGGAGGAAGCCTGGATGCTGGTGAACAGCTCTTCGTTCAAGGAATTGGAGTTATTATCCTCTACTTTGGATCAGTTCTGATTTCCTTTTCATTCTCCAGGTCTTGTGGGTATAGCACTTAAGTTATAATAATAATAATTTTATTTCTTCAAGTACATGTACAAGGTATACAGGCCTAGCTGACATCAGTGATGCCCTATTATATAAAAAGTCCCTTGTTATGTAGTGTATTTCGGGCAAATTAGGTCAGTTTTGTCCCAGGATACGACCCACAACAGTTGACTAACACCCAGGCACCTATTTTATGGATAGGTGAACATGGACAGCAGTTGTCTTAAAGGAAACACATCCTAATGTTTTCCAGCCTTACCGGGAATTGACCCCTGGACTTCAGTGTATGAGCTGAGTGTGCTAGCACTGTATGACTTCTACTTGGACTTTTTTTTGTGTTATTCTAGGTAATTTACACATAATTTACCATGTACGATAATTTGTGGAACTGTACCTAAATAAACTTACTTGCCTACTTTCAGGCTTGGTTCTTAACCATTAATATAGTGGCAAATTACGTTGGATGCATTTTAAACATTATTTATCCTGGTATTTAATTATTGTAATATCCTGGAAATAATATTATGCACAGTATTATTTGAAGCATTCACTCATGACAGATGGTTATGATTTTAACCTGGGATAGCTTAATTATATTAAATAGGATTATATATATACACATGAATACAGTATCAAGAGTCAGTAGGATTCTAATTCCTTCCTTCTAGTAACAATGCAAAATGATAAACGGTGATATGTCCGTTTCTCCTGCCATGCGTGTAGGGTGAACGTCTTAGTAGTTATGGATTATGTGTTATATGATTTGTGGAAATCATAATACGATTGTGAACATTGTGGTCGTATACAAGCCTCCGGATGCAACTTCCCAGCAATTCCAGGAACAGCTTTTGACCACTGTCTGGAAAATCTCCCAACTCCTGCCCTAAGCATCTTACTACAGGGAGACTTCAACGTGAGACATTTAAAATTGAGGAGTGTAGCAAATGACGACGACGATCTGATACGTATTATAACCGTATCAAAGACACACTCAGATCACAACATGATAGAGGTAGAGACATGTATGCACAGGGCTCCTGACCAGCAAAATGAAGCCTTTGCAAAATTCAACTTCAGTAACAAAAACATGCAATGGGAACAAGCCAACCATGTTCTAAATGAAACAAATTAGGAATATATCCTAAACAACACGGATCCAAACGTTGGCCTAGAAAAAATAAACTCTGTGGCTCTTGAGGTCTGCTCAAGGCACATATTGAGAAAAAGAAAGAGAGGATGTAAACTAGAAAGAGACGCTCCCTATAATGACAGAGGCGAAGAATTTCAAAGCTGCTGAGAGGAGCCAATATATCTGAAATACGAAGGGAGGCACTAGTCAGAGAAATAGCACATATCGAACTTAAGCTTAAAGAATCTCAGGAGGAACTAAAACCCATAAAGGAAATCGAAAAAAAAAATACTAACTTCTCTTATTCCAAATCTAAGAGTAAAAGAACATCTAGTGTTGGGGGCCTGCTTAGGTGAGATGGGACAAATACAGACGACAGCAAAGAAATGGGTGAGATACTAAGGTCAGAGAGCCGTTACCCAGACTAACGGTTGACAATCTAAATGAATTCTTTATGAATGAGACCCAAAATTTGGTCATTCCAAAAATCTGTGATATTATCCTAACACCACAAGACTTCGAAAAGGCAATAAATGACATGCCCATGCACTCTGCCCCAGGCCCAGACTCATGGAACTCCGTGTTCATCAAGAACTGCAAGAAGTCCATCATGTGCTTTCAGCATTCTATGGAGAGGGAGCATGGATACAGGGGTCATCCCACACTCACTAAAAACATAGCCCCACTCTACAAAAGTGACAGTAAAGCAATTGCAAAGAACTACAAATCAATAGCACTAACATCCCATATCATAAAAATCTTTGAGAGGGTTCTAAGGAGCAAGATCGCCAACCACCTATACCCATCAGTTACACAATCCAGGGCAACATGCGTTTAAAGCAGGTAGCTTCTGCCTGTCCCAGCTACTGAACTACTGTGACAAGGTCCTAGATGCTGTAGAGGATGAACAAAATGCAGATGTAGTATACACAGACTTTGCAAAAGTCTTTGACAAGTGCAACCACGATGTAATAGCACACAAAATATTTGATAAAGGAATAACAGGAAAAGTGGTAGATGGATCTGTAACTTCCTAACAAATAGAATACAAAGAGTAATAGTAAACAGTAAAGTCTGAGGCAGCTACGGTGAAAAGCTCTGTTCCACAAGGCATAGTACTTGCTCCGTGTCTTCCTTTGCTGATGACACCTGAATTTCCATGACAGTGTCCTCCATTGAAGACACTGCAAGACTCCAAGCTGACATCAACCAGATTTTCAAATTGGCCACTCAGAACAATATGAAGTTCAATGAACAAAAATTTCAACTACATAGATATGGAAAACTTGAGGAAATTAAAACTGTATCAGGGTATACAACAAATTCTAACCATACAATAGAGCAAAAAGTAATGTGAAGGACCTGGGAGTGATAATGTCAGAGGATCTCACCTTCAAAGACTGCAACAATATATCTACTGCATCTGCTAGAAAAATGATAGGATAATGAGAGCCCTCAAAACTAGGGACACCAAGCCCATGACGAATCTCTTCAAATCGTTTGTTCTCCCTAGGCTGGAATGCTGCTGTACACTAATTGCCCCCTTCAAGGCAGGCAAAACTGTTGACCTGGAGAGTGTACAAAGAACTTTAACAGCACACATAAGTATGATAAAGCACCTTAATTACTGGGAATGATTGAAGTCCCTTGATTTGTATTCCCTGGAATGCTGGCAAGAGAGATGCATGATAATATACACTTGAAAAATCCTAGAGGGATTAGTACCAAACTTGCACACGAAAATCACTTTCTTATGAAAGCAAAAGACTCATTAGGAGATGCAACATTCCCCCAGTGAAAAGCAGGGGTGCCATGAGTACGCTTGAAAGACAACATAATAAGTGTCAGGGGCTCAAGACTGTTCAACTGCTTCCCAGCATACATAAGGGGGATTACCAGTAGACCCCAGGCTATCTTCAAGAAGGCTCTGGACAGGCACCTAAAATCAGTACCTGACCAGCTGGGCTGTGGTTCACATGTCAGTTTGCATGTGGCCAGCAGTAACAGCCTGGTTGATCAGACCCTGATCCACCATGAGGCCTGGTTTCAGACCGGGCCGTGGGGGCGTTGACCCTTGAAACCCTCTCCAGGTATACTCGAGGTAACTCTGGGAATTGGTGAGAGATTTGTCCATAACTCGCATTTGTAGTTTTAATATGGTCTGTGCTAATCTTGTCGGGAATAGTCTGGGTGAACACTGATTGTACTAATGTTGATTGAATGTTTATTGCTAATTTTGGTCCAGACCCACTTGAATATGCAAGTGGCTCTGCCTTCAGTATGACATGTGGCTCCTCCCAAGTGTGGTTGTAGTGCTATGTAATGGTACACTGAGCAGAGATATTTCACCCTTACCAGTGTAAGGCTTCTTGTGAACACATTTACTTGATTACGGCCCCCAAAAATATAATTTTTTTCATATAAAGAATTTTGGATGAACAAGAAGTCAGATTACAATGAAAAATATTAATTTAATCAGGAGTTTGGTTTATAGAATCATACATTTTCACTTAGCATTTTAATTTGCAATATTAATTGAGGCAAGAATTTTATGTAATGTTTTATCTTCCAGATGGCATTGTCAGTGATAAGGTGGGGGATCCCCTCCCTGAGAGGGCTGTCTGGGCGCTTCTTGTCTTCTCCAACACCCATACTCCGCCCTCAGGTAAACACTGTTGTTAAGCTTGCTGCTTATCTTGTTTCAGGTTTTCATTGTACAGCATTCACTTAAACCATTCACTGTCACTTACATAAGATCTACGTTGTATTAATATTGGTAGAATTACCGACAATATGTTAAGTAAAAGGACACAACTGCAACTAATGTGACATTTTATTGTGGCAACGTTTCACTCTACAGGAGCTTTGTCAAACTGTTGCCTTCTCAAATCCATCCCCATATACCTTTGTCCAACCTACAAAAAAAAAAAAAAAAAAAAAAAAAAAAAAAAAAAAAAAAAAAAAAAAAAAGAGGTAATGGCTTGACAAAGCTCCTGGAGAGTGAAACATTGCCACGATAAAATGTCACATTAGTTGCATTTGTGTCCTTTTACCTAACATGATCTACATTATTGATGCCAGGGTCACTGATGTAAATCTGTTTTTTGGTGTCACGTGAGAGAATGGAGGACATCACTGAAATATAGATGATTTTGGTTGGTTCTACAGTAGGGCCCACTTATATGGCAGGTTAGGTTCCAGGCTACTGCTGCAATGCAGACATCGCTGGAAAGCAGAATGCCTTTTTTTCCACTTACAAATGCATATAAATGCCAGATAACAAGTTTGCACTAACATATATTAAGTTAGCAATAGAACTAGGCATTAAAAAAACATAAAAAGTAAAATACACACACAGTACACTCATTATTTACCGCAAAATATTTGTAGTCTTAATGTAGGGCAAAAGGTGAGAGGTATTTACTTTATGAAGTCAGGTGTGGTAGGTATGGTAACCCTCCTGGCCACCCCACCCATACATAATATACTATGACATTTAAAGCACCCTAAAGTGATAAAATGCATATACAGTACACTCATTACTTACCTGAAAATATTTGTAGTCTTAATAATAAATAATAAAAGTAACGAGTGTACTGTATATGCATTTTATCGCTCTAGGGCGCTTTAAATGTTGTAGTAGGTGGGCTGGCCAGGCCGGCTACCATACCTCCCAAACAACTTTCTACAAATACTGTAAATACTTTTCACCTCTCACTCTACATTAAGACTTAACACATCGGCCGATTCCCACCAAGGCAGGGTGGCCCGAAAAAGAAAACCTTTTATCATCATTCACTCCATCACTGTCTTGCCAGAAGGGTGCTTTACACTACAGTTATAAAACTGCAACATTAACACCCCTCCTTCAGAGTGCAGACACTGTACCTCCCATCTCCAGGACTCAAGTCTGGCCTGCCAGTTTCCCGGAATCCCTTCATAAATGTTACTTTGCTCACACTCATTACTTAACTTAAAATATTTGTAGTCTTAATGTAGGGTGTGAGGTGAATAAGAGAGAGAAAAGCGAATAACTGAGAAATAGACAACAAGTAAGAGAACAGAGCCGCAGACTACTATGTAAACAAACGCGTCTGGTTATGGTTGATACACATTCATAAAACACCTTACATTGTGTACAAGTAGTCTCCACAGTGGTACAGTAAAATAAATAAAGACCAGCACTGCCATTCTTATGTTGGAGCATCATTCCTTTTAAGAATATTATTACAAGTTGTTATTGTTATTATTACAAATTATTATTATTGAAAGTTACAGTGGACCCCCGACTTATGATGTCCTCAACCTATGTTAAAACTGACATACGATACTTGGCAACGTAAAAATTTGACCCCGACATACGTTTAAAAACTCGACTTACATCATTCGTACCACGGTCAGCTGCTGCTGCATCACGGTCAGCTGTACTACTCGAAGATGTGGAGAGACTGTTATTGGTGTGGCTTCTCGAGAATACCGAGAAACAATTAACCCCAGAGAGTTAGCCACCCAGGATAACCCAAGAAAGTCAGTGTGTCATCGAGGACTGTCTAGCTTATTTCCATTGGGTTCCTTAATCTTGTCCCCGAGGATGCGACCCACACCAGTCGACTAACACTCAGGTGAACAGGAAAAAATGCCTGGAACTAGTGCTCATATTGGTGAATTTAAGGCCAGCAAAGGTTGGTTTGAGAGATTTAAGAATCGTAGTGGCATACACAGTGTGATGAGGCCTGTTCTGGAAGAAAATGCCAAACAGGACCTACATTACTCAGGAGAAAAAGGCACTCCCAGGACAGTGTCTCATCACTACATCTTCAATAAAGGTAAGTGTCATTTATTCTTCATTTAGTACACTAGTACATGCACAATATATATTGTGCATGTATCCTTCTTTTTGTGTGTAGAAAATATATATTTCATGTGGTAAAATTTTTTTTTTCATACTTTTGGGTGTCTTCAACGAATTAATTTGATTTCCATTATTTCTTGTGGGGAAAATTAATTCGACTTACGATAATTTCGTTTTACAATGTGCTCTCAGGAATGAATTAATATCGTAAGTCGGGGGTCCACTGTACTATTATTGTTACAAATTATTATTATTATTACAATCATAATAAAAAAGAAGCGTTAAACCCACAAGGGTCATGAATAGCTATAGATAGTGAAGACATACGAAAGGAATATTTTTCAACAGTTATCCCCCAGTAACTGGTGTTTGACTAGAGAAAACATAATTCTTCCGACACTCCTACAAACCACTTGGTAAACAATTCTCATATTTATGTAAATTTTTATACTTTGGGTGTAAGTATCATGTAAATGTGTTACATACTGTGTTTATTATATTATTTTGAAAAAATATTATGAATAAATGGAAAAGTCTATATTAAGGTAATATACGACATTAATGCGCCCAAGAGATTATTATATAGTTTCAAGAGTAGAAAGACAAGTGATTTTAATGTGCATCTGCATGCCAGCACAGTGTGTAGTATATTTAGGTACAGGTACACATAAGTATAATTATCAAAGTACATACATATAAAATACACAATAACTTTAAAACACTTGAAATTTTGGAAATTTTCCAGACATAATAGATGTGCTCACTGAGAATGTAAACAAACCGGGTGGGGCATGCCCTGTTAAAAAGACTGGGAGCCATATAGCAAGTTTTGGTCATAATTTGAAATCACTGTACAGTGGAACTTTGACTTATGAGTTTAATCCGTTCCAGGAGCTAGCTCATAACTCAATTCACTCGTATATCATATTAATTTTCCTCATTTAAATTAATTGAAAAGCCATTAATTCGTTCCTGCACTCTGGAGAGATGAGAAAAAATACTTAATATGACGCTATTATCAATTCTACAGCTTATTTATCTATCACAATTCATCTAGTATGACATAAGCAATATAATTAGCACAGAAACATGATATATACTCTAGAATGAATAAAATAGGCCATAGTATGGTGGCAGAGGCAACAGCGGCAGAAGCGTCAGTCATTTCTGTCACAGTTTGACCGTAATATCTTCCCATGTTCTTACTGTAAGAGAAAATGGAGTACAGTGGACCCCCGCATAACGATATTAATCCGTTCCTGAGAGCTCATTGTTATGCGAAATTATCGTTATGCGAATGAATTTTCCCCATAAGAAATAATGGAAATCAAATTAATCCGTGCAAGACACCCAAAAGTATGAAAAAAAAATTTTTACCACATGAAATACAGTGGACCCTTAACCAGCGATGGCATCGATTAACGATAAATCTGACTAGCGATACATTTAAACGCAAAAATTTTGCCTCAACTAGCGCTTAAAAACCCGACCAGCGCTATTCATTCCGTACCATACGCGTCCACTTTGGCCTGAGCGCGCCTCACTTGTCCCTTGGGTGTCAGTGTTTACAAGCCAGCCAGCCACCGCGGTCGCTTCCAAACATACAACAACTGGAACATTTCATATTATCACAGCCTTTGTAGTGATTGCACCTGCAAAATAAGTCATCATGGGCCCCAAGAAAGCTTCTAGTGCCAACCCTACAGCAAAAAGGGTGAGAATTACTATGGAGATGAAGAAAGAGATCATTGCTAAGTATGAAAGTGGAGTGCGTGTCTCTGAGCTGGTCAGGTTGTATAATAAACCCCAATCAACCATTGCTACTATTGTGGGTAAGAAAACGGCAATCAAGGAAGCTGTTCTTGCCAAAGGTGCAGCTGCTGCTGCACCACAGTCAGCTGTTGTTGTTGCTGCACCACCATCAGCTGTTTTACTCGAAGATGTGTAGAGAGTGTTGTTGGTGTGGCTTAACGTGAAACAATTACCGAGAAACGATTAACCCCGAAGGGTTAGCCACCCAGGATAACCCAAGAAAGTCAGTGCATCATCGAGGACTGTCTAACTTATTTCCATTGTGGTCCTTAATCTTGTCCCCCAGGATGCGACCCACAACAGTTGACTAACACCCAGGTGAACAGGAAAAATTGCCTGGAACTAGTGCTCATATTGGTGAGGCTAGTGGGGAGGATGTGGAAGAGTTGGTGGAGGAGGACAATGAAGAACAAACCACTGATGAGCTGCTAGATCATCTTCAACAGTAAGAGGCCACACCTGAGGAAACTGCTTCGGAGGAGGGGAGAGAGAAATTGAAGAAGTTGCCTACTTCAAAGATTAAGGAAATGTGTGCAAAGTGGCTTAAAGTGCAAACCTTTTTTGATGAAAATCACCCTCACACAGCTATTGCAAGCCGTGCTGGTGACTATTACACTGACAATGTTGTGAAACACTTTAGGATAAAGGAACGAGAGGTACAGGCCTCTATGGACAGATATGTTGTGCGACAGAAGTCCAATGACTCTGAAGCTGGTCCTAGTGGCATTAAAAGAACAAGGGAAGTAACCCCAGAAAAAGACTTGCTGCCTCAAGTGCTAATGGAAGGGGATTCCCCTTCTAAAACACTAACAAGATCAACGGTCTCCCCTCCTCCCATCCCATCAATCATCACCAGATCTTCAATAAAGGTAAGTGTCATGTAACTGTGCATGTCTTCTTCAGTTTGCATGTATTAAAATTAATATTTCATGTGGTAAAAATTTTTTTTTTCAATACTTTGGGGTGTCTTGCATGGATTAATTTGATTTCCATTATTTCTT